CTACAGCTTCGGTTATATACCAGTATATAAAACATATAAGTTAAAATACATTAATGACTCGTTATAACGTACTTCAAACGTCTCTTTTAATAAAGTGATTTGTAACCAGGCATTAAAGCGATTACCCATAAAACTAGCTTTGAACCAATCGGATCGCTTGGGTCCTAAGGTGGGACTCATCTCTTCAGGCGGACCCATCTCTTCACCACACCGGAGTGCTAGGCTAAAATGCTAACTCTTGCGCGCTTTAGCCTACAGAGTGACGTCGTAACTTCGGCAGACGGAAAATTATCTAACAACATTTGGTAGATTGTAAAATGAATTACAGGCCTATCGACTCTCATCTTAAAGCTCATCTTGACTCTTTAAATTAGAAGTCGGAAATGTGACCATCGTCCGCTGCATTTATATTGTGTTATATTGTTTTATTATGTTTATTTTAACTATGTGTATTGTGTAATTTTATGTAAAGGCCCATAGGGACTAACATTGAGAATTAGCCTCGGCTAAAATGTTGTAGCATGGAACATGATCTTATGTAACATTGTCCCTATTCAAATAAATTTAAATAAAATAAACAATTAAAGTAATTAACCGTCTATAAATAATAACCTATGTCCGAACATTGCAGTATCAGTCATCAATGATTACGTAAAAACCGCTAGCTGCTATAGGCTATTTCACACAGGTCTCGGGTTGTCAGAATGTCAGTGTGAACGTTTGTAAACTTTTATTTTTAATATAATTATGTAACAGACTAACATAAAATCAACACCTGCTTAATTTTATAATTTATTTATTAAATTATACGTGTATAATGCACTTACCATAGAAAAGCGACATGGTTGGATAGTGGCGCCGGGACTGTTTTTACCCTAAAACATCCAGCGCACCGAAGATTAATAATTATAATCGTTAGCATCGTGCATGTGTTTTATACTTTTGTACATTTTAAATCTACAATTAATCCGATTAAATAATCAAATTGAATTAGGCTTATTTAAGGTTCTCTGAAAAGTAAACCTCAAACAATATTTGAAATGCTGGGATAGAGATGGATCTTTTTTTACAAAAAAGACCATCTAGTCAGAAATTTGGAATTAGCCGTAAAACGGTTAAGCTAGTTTTAAAATTTGCTTGGTCATAACTGCGACGTGGTTGGATAGTGGCGCCGGGACTGTTTTTACCCTAAAACATCCAGCGCACCGAAGATTCGTTCTCAGAAGGAGACGAGGAAAGTTAGCGCAAGTGATGCTTGATTGACCAAAGCGGTTAAATGTGGCGGGACTGTTTTAAAAATGACGGCAGAGTAATCCCTAAAACATTGTAACACGCTAGAGTTATACAAGTATAAAAGGCGCCCTTGTAACTAGCTAGGATCGTGGCTAGCATTCTGAACCTGACCGTAAAGCTAATCAAATATTTTAAGGGAAAAATAAATACCAAAGAAATTAACCTGAGATAAACTCCAAAATATTTTTGAAAGAGACAAAAAAAAAAAAGAAACCGTTTTGAGTTTTAAAAAGAAAACTAAAATATTGAAAAGCATTAGAGTTAACTTTTCTTTACATTTTTCTTTTGTTCTGTGAGTGAGGGACAGAGAAAGAGAGCGAAGCAGCCCCTCCCTTCAGAATTGCCCTGTACCTTCATACACATACACACACACACACATCCAGTTGGAGAGGGGGAGAGGCAGGGAGCCCCACACACACATACCTATACACACAGACAGCCTGCAGCTCTGAGCGCACACACACAGACGGAGTTGGCTGCAGTTTCTGAACATAGACGCACATACATATCCCCTCCCGTATAACACACACACACACACACACATGCACAAAATATAACCTGCTTTGAAAGGACAGAAGGTGTATAAGGCCAAGTTACCATACACAAACACCAAATATAACCTGCTTTGAAAGGACACATGGATTCTCGCAGACCAAAGTGACTAAGGCACACCATCATAATAATATGGAATATATTACCGAACTGCCAACCCTACAGTTTCCGTGAGATGCCTTCTAAAAATAAATTGAATGAGCTCGTCAAGCTCTTCAGGTTTGCTTGAAAATACAAAGGCAGGTTGGAAGTAAACCTCTACGCTAGAGTATAGGATTAACACATAGCCGCCGTCAATGTGTAGACGTGCTAGAGTACAGTGTTAGACTCGGCTGAAAAAAAAAATGTACATATAAAATAAGTGACTCCTGACATTAAAAGGCCCAGGGTAACCACATGGCAAAATAAACAAAACAAAACTGCCTGTAAGCAAAATAAAGGATTAATAAATAAAATAATTAAAATGCATTTAATAATAAAAGAAATAAATTAAAATAAAAGATGAGGTTGACCTGAAAATGCAAATAATGTCATTGATGACTCACCCTGATGTCGTTCCAAGCCCGTAAGACCTCTTTAGTGGAGTCCGTGTGACATCAGTGGGTTAGTTACAATGTTTTGAAGCATCGAAAACACATTTTGGTCCAAAAATAACGAAAACTACGACTTCATTCAGCATTGCGTTGTCAACTTCACAGTGACCCTGCCGATGACGTGTCGATCTGGTGCGCCCGAGCGCTTTTGGCGATTAGGATCTGCGACACGCACGCTGGCGCACCATTGTAAAAAAAATACTAAAATACAAACAACGTAGAGTAGCTTGAATACAGTGTGCGTCTCCCCCAGACGGTAAACCATGCTCGGGTGCACCAGATCGACACGTCATCGGCAGGGTCACTGTGAAGTTGACAACGCAATGCTGAATGAAGTCGTAGTTTTCGTTATTTTTGGAGCAAATGTATTTCTGATGCTCCAAAACATTGCAACTACCCCACTGATGTCACATGGACTACTTTGATGATGTCTTTATTTCCTTTCTGGACAAGGACAGTACACCGTACACGCACGTTCGATGGAAGATCAGAAAACTCTCGGACTAAATCTAAAATATCTCAAACTGTGTTCAGAAGATGAACAGAGGACCTACGTGCTTGGAACGACATGAGGGCGAGTCGTTAAATGACATCGTTATACTCTTGCAACTTGCGAAACATGACTAGAAAGGCTAAGGCGATCCAAAAGTGCATTTAGCGCTTAGCATTTGAATGTCTTTTAAACGCCAAGCCCCCGTTGCGAACAAAATCTCGAATGTTCTGAATGGATCTTTTCTCCGAGATGGGTTGTTCCTTTTCCTTGCACTTCAGACACTGCTCACTGGTGGCAGTAGCCGCGTTTCCACTGCCGGGCTAGGGCTGGGCCAGAGCTAACAGCGAGCCGGGCCGAGCTAGTGGCCTCGGGCCTCAAGCACCGGGCTTGCGTTTCCACTGCCGGGCCAGTAGCCCCACAGCGCTGCCCCAGACCCCCACCCCTAACACGCCATTCTGGATCAAACGTCATAAAACCCAACCCATTTCAGCGGGTATTATGAATTAATTTATTTTGTAAATTAGGAAGATAGCATGTATATTAACTCACCTGCCGTAGTGGCTGCAATAGTGTCACGAGACCAGTACAGGCGATTCTCCATTTCAAGCAGCGATTTTTTTGCGCGATATAACAAGTAGGGCTGCGGGCACGTTTTCAAGTTATTCATTAATCGTTAACCGAGGCCCATCGGTTAATACTCGGTGCATAGTGTGCGCGCCGCAACCTCGAGATACAGAGTAAATTTTTAACACCTTTAATAACTGATTGGACCTCATTTGAAACGAAATTAATTTATAGAAATAAAACGCAGCAAGTACGGAGCAGTTAAAGCCCCATTTCCATCACCCTTCAAACTGAAATTGCCAATTGAAAATAAGCAAAACGTCCATTTCACAAAAACTCCGTGTCTGCAAATAATAATAATAATAATAATAACCATCATCATCATTATTGTAACATTTTATTAGGCTGCATATGTAGAAGACGCCTTTATCCAAAAAAGGAACAGAGCACAAATAAACACAATATTTTTGACAAATATCCAGTGTGTGTGGAGCACGCACTGATGGCTGCGAGACGCCCATGTGAACAGTTTCATTGCATTTCTTTCAGTGGAAACAACTTAAAATACTCTTTAATTTCTGGTCATACAGAAAATAATAATACATTATTCGCAAATAAATGTATTTATGACAAGAAAACGTTGTGCTTTAACAATTAATCAAGGCGCGCTTCATGATCTCCGTGAACTGAAGCGCGAGACCTGAAACAGCCACCGCATTCGAATTTGTTCGTTTTAAATTGGACATTTAAAGCTTTTATATCCTTTGTAGATTAAATGTCCAATTTAAAACGAACAAATTCGAATCGAAAGCCAATATCTTCTATGTTTATGTAGCTTAATTTCTCTCTAAATGTGCATCCGGAGATGGAGATATGTTTTTAGCCGAAAATCATTTAGAAAACAATAGTTTATTAATAAACAATTAATGCCTCGTTATTTTATATTATTTTATTATCAGACACATTTATTATAGCCTATAAATCACCCATAAATCCCCTTTCTGTAGGCTGTGGTTACGGCTCTTCTCATTCAGCACTGCGGGGAAAATATCATTTCCAGGTTCTAATTTGGCCTCAGAAAACCAGTAGCCTAAAATATATATTTTTTTCATATTAATTTGTCAAATATTTTAAATGTTTAAGGGGCAAAAAAAATCAAACAAATATCTGAAAATTCGTCGATATGTAGCCTATATATACTAGCCTATGTGTTGTTGCGCAGTATTTGGCATAGGCCTACAGTTCAAATTAAAATGTTATGCAATTTTAAACGGTTAATCGGTAAAACATGGACACCCCTATGTGCATCTTGCTTCAGATCATAACGTTCCATAACACCGATAAACTCCGCCTTTTACCTTGAGCACGCCTCTAGCCCGAGCTGGCCCCCTCTGGCCCAAGGTATTTGACGGGCCAGAAATCCTGGCCGTTGGCCCTGAGGAAGCCCCGATCAAGCCCCTAGCACGGCCCGGCCCTGGCCCGGCAGTGGAAACGCGGCTAGTGACCCCGTTTTCAATCAAAGGCCTCATAGGTTTCATCACGGCTCGTATCTCCTCCTCGGACCACGGTCTCTTCGCACACCGCCTAGATTTGACATGGACACCTGAACAATTAAAAAAATATTAGAAGATAAAAACAAAAGATAAAAGAGCCATCAAGATGTACTTGTAGGTAGAGGGACGTTGCTGTTCAAAATCGACAAACAAGCTGGAACTCGTGTAGACAATGTGTGTGATAATAAATTGACTTTAGTTCTCATTCAAAACAACACATCCAGCTTCTTCTACCACCTTATACGTCTAAACAAACCACGTAAGTGTTGACTGCACATGAGTGAGGTGATCCGGAAGTTACACAGGCAGCGTTCCCCTGGTCGTCTAAAAAAAAACAAAAAATATTGCACGGTATAAATGTGTGGGCTTAAAGAGCCTGTCTGCCAACCAATGTAAGTGTTGACCGCACACAAGTGATGGACACGGCATCGCATTAATACAATACCTTGAGTGACTGAGTCGGGGAGATGAGGTGATCCGGAAGTTACACAGGCAGCGTTCCCCTGGTCATCTAAAAGAAAACAAAAAAAATTATTGCACACTATAAATGTGTGGCCTTAAAGAGCGTGTCCGCCTACCGTGGGCATGGAGGGGAACACATGTGGCACCGCAGACAGCCAATTCTAGATTATACCCGAGTGATCGTTTTTAGAAGAAGGCTGCCTTCGGGAGCGGGGACGGGGAGGCCATGAGGACAGCACAACGGGAGGTGAAACATTGTGTGAAGGAAGCTAAGGACAACCACAGGAGGAAAGTGGAGGAGAAACCGAGGGAGAACAACACGAGGGAGGTCTGGGATGGCGCGAGGACCATCACGGGTCATGACACAAAGACAAAAACTATGGGAGGGACAATGGAGATGGCCAATGAGCTGAATGACTTCTTTAATAGGTTTAACCAGCTCATGCCCTCCCTTGTCCCCCCAACCCTCACCCTCACCCCCACCACGGCACACTTCTTCTTCCCCCTACACACTTCTCCCCTGACACCACCATACCCCAGTCCACACACCTCCCCTCCGACTTTGCGATACCTTCCTCCTTTACACATGTTTCTACCAACACCACATCACCCCCACCCTTATCAGTACAATCCCCGCCTCGCATCACCACAGACCAGGTCAGGGAACAGCCGAGGAGGCTCCGGCCCAGGAAAGCAGCGGGCCCCGATAAAGTGCGTCCGAGACCGCCGAAGACCTGTGCCGCTGAGCCGGGGGAGCCGCTCCAGCGGATCTTCAACCTCAGCCTACAGCCAGGGAGAGTGCCTACCCTCCGGAAGACATCCTGCGTCGTTCCAGTTCCCAAGGAGAACAGGCCGAGCGAGCTGAATGACTGACTTTCGACCGGTGGCACTCACTTCACACCTGATGGAGACGTTTGAGCGGCTCCTCCTCAGCCTCCCCAGACCCCAGGTGCGGCACGCCGAGGATCGCCTGCAGTTTGCATACCAGCCAAAGGTTGGTGTGGAGGATGCCATCCTTTACGCGTTACGTCGGATCCACTCCCATCTGGATAAGGGGAAAGGCACAGTGAGGATGCTTTTTTTTTGGACTTCTCCAGTGCCTTCAATACCATCCAGCCACCCATACTTCGGGACAAACCGATCAGGATGGGAGTGGACCACTTTCTGGTAGACTGGATCAGAGATCACCTCACGGACAGGCCGCGGTGTGTCAGGCTGAAGGACGTCATGTCTGACACCGCGGTCAGTAGCACTGGAGCCCCTCAGGGCACAGTGCTGGCCCCTCTTCTCTTCACCCCGTACACCTCGGACTTTTGTCACAACTCGGAGCTGTGACGTATGCAGAGGTGTGCAGATGACACAGCCATTGTTGGGCGCATTAAGGGTGACGGGGAGGAGGAGGAGTATAGGAGTCTGGTGGGGGACTTTGCTCTCTGGTCGTCGACTTTGGGAGGTCCAGATCAGATCCGCAACCGGTCCTGCCGGAAGGAGTTGAGGTGCAGGCAGTCAAATCATACAAATACCTCGGATTGTGGCTGGATAACAAACTGGACTGGACAACGCACACAAGCCATCTGCACAGGAAGACACAGAGCAGGCTGTATTTCCTGAGGAGACCGCGCTCTTTTAACATCTGCAGCAAATTGCTGTGTATGTTTTATCAGTCTGTGGTTACCAGTGTCCTCTTCTACACTGTGGTGTGCTGGGAGGGGGGGCAGCATATCCAAGAAGGACACCGATAGGCTGGATAAACTGATCAGGCGGGCCGGCTCTGTGAAACTGGATTCAATGGTGATGGTGGCAGAGAGAAGGATGCTGGACAAACTGCTGGACATTATTAATAATGCCAGCCACCCCCTGCTGCACATCAGCAACCAGAGGAGCCGGTTCAGTGGACGGCTGCTCCTTCCCGAGTGCCGGACAAACAGACCGAAGGACTCTTTTGTTCCTCATGCCATCAGACTCTACAACTCCTCATTAGGGGGGAGGAGGAAATAGGGTCGAGAGGACGATAGGACAATATACTATATAAATACGTATATATCTATCTGGACTTGCATTAATGCCTGGTCACTTTATCGCTCTAGCACTTTAATACTGGACTGAATACTTACACTTTTTTAGGGTCTTTTTTTCTTTGTTGCTTTTTTTGACTATTATTATTATTATTGTTAATTTTGTTGTTTGAAAAACTGTCTTCTGTTTATTCTCCTTCTCTTTTCTTGCTAAAACTGCTGCTGGAATTTTCAATTTCCTTTTGGGAGTCATCCCCAAGGATTAATAAAGATAAGTCTAAGTCTAATTTTACTAGGAAATGATGTAGATTTCACACAGTCCAAGTCTTCGCTGTTGTTTTAAAACGATCACGCAAACTACTGAACACATCAAAACACTAGCCAAGTTTATAACCATCATACTACTGGAAAATTCCCGACTAAAACATTTTAATAAACTCTAACGATGACGTGATATTTGTTGGGCAAACTTTGGGTCCTTCATTCAGATTATACCTTGAGCTGCAGTCTCGGAGAGGTGAGGTGATTCAAAAGTCCCAGAAGCCGACATTTCTTCAGCATTTCATTTCGTGCAACAATTTCAGTAGCCTTGGAACCCAATTTAACAGTACCTTGCGATGTGGAAACATTAAGGAGTAGTTGCGATCCCGCATCCATATCGTCGTCTGCGCCATCTATTAAATGATGACATTGTACAAATTAACACATTTTATTACACATACACCAAAGTAGATTTACGACGATACGTACCACCAATTTCGTTTTTCCTCGAATATCCTTAGCTCTTGTTGTATTTTGCCTCGCTCAGGTTAGACAAGGCAGAATGGGAAACTAATTCAGACCACTTTGTTTCATGAAGTGCACGAAACCTCCCGATGGAATCGATCGCCTCTCGGTCCTCTTCCGTGAGGACACGACGCATGATGAGGTCACTTGTCTTTCTGAGAGAATGCCCAATTTTCAGGGCCAAACTTGGGGCTTTGAAAGTGTTGTTTTCATGATCAAAACCTGAAACTCTCTTGACAGCACTAGTAAGAATAAAGAAGTTGCTGCTGTTGCATGACGACATAATGATCGTTCCTTATTGCAGTGGAAAGTTCACTTGAAATTGGCTGGGACATTGTAGACTGAGCAGATGCTATACACCAAAGGCTCTCTCTCTAAACTCGGGTCCCTCTTCAGTGTTATTCTCAGGTCTCAGAGAAAGTTTGGCAGTGATCGTAAGTCTCAGTGCTGCTGCTCTGTTTGGAACTCCTTTTCACTTTAAGGCAGCAGTAGAGTTATATGCTCGAAGTTGCCAAGGATTCGGAATTTCTCAAGAAGAACCTTTCTGTCCTTCGATGATTTGGGGAACTGGAGCGCCTGTGCGATTTCAGCATTTTCATTGACGTGCCTCTCGAGATGACGTGCAAATTTTGTTTGAGTTGGTTTTTCACATACAAAACAACAATTGACTTGGCTTTTAATGAATTTCGCTGATTTGGTTGGTGGATTTACTTTGGCCAAGAACACCCACAGCGCCCTTTTCGTTACTCGCATCTTTTGTTTTCTGCAGGTATGACTCTGAGCTTTCTGGTTCTGGGTCACTTTGGAGATCACCAGTAGTTTCTAGATCCATCAGGATATTCTTACAGATATCCCTCGAGTTGTCCTCTATATCCATGGTCTGGTCTTGTTCAGGGAAAGTAACACCTAAATCAGGCCAATTAGTGGTACGGGACTTTTTGGATGGTCCAGGCAACTCAACACTCGACTCCGTCCCTGAGCTTTCTGAATCCGACACAGACGCTGGGATGTACTCGTCGCCAGATGAGACGTCGTCCTGTGAAGTACATTAAATTAATTAATGAAATTTAAATTTAGCTAACAGCATACTTTAACAGAAATACAAATAGGAAGAATGGATGTCAAAAACAAACTGCTAAGAGCCATCCTATTGATATTGAGCATATTACACTTCAACGCACACTCACATCTGAAATATCCCAGTCTTCTGAGGATTTCTGGAGGCAGATTTTTCATTTTCTTCACAGACAAAATTCAGGCAGCGTTAGACAACAATTAGTCAATTCCCCATGCCGACCAATTTCATATACTAATTTTCTTATTAAATGCAAACAGCTTCACGCTAATGATCAAGAAATACTAACAAAATGAACTGTTCAGTACAAACGCACAGTTTGAGTGATGGCTAAAACTTTCCATTTAGACAAAAAGTAGACGGGTTTCGACCATTAAGGCAGAATTCACTGGAGTGGCAGAGCATTTACATTACCCATTCAAAGTCAAAGTTAAAAATGTACGTAGTGATCCCACACAATAAATTCAGCAACACCACTAAACATACACATAAAGTGAGCTGAAAACGTAAGCATAAAGTGAGTTCAGAATGAAAAGCAGATTTTTGGAAAAACGACTGTTCAAATGGTGCATTCGGATGGGATTTCCAAACAGAATTAAAAATACAAACGATATATGGCACTGTCCGAACAATCGAGGGATTTGAGATTCTGATTTTAAAACACTGTTATTGTAAAAACAGACACATTAACAGCCTGGCCTGACAAAACACATTCTTTTTTAAATGAGCAACATGGAAGGTGCGAGGCCATACAAGCTATGATGATTCAGAATGCATCCTTGGCCCAGAGAGTTCTGGCAGAATAGTCTAATGGGGAACAGAAATTATGAAATGTTCATCCTACATTAATTAATAAGGCTAGTGAGAATAAAAAGGAAAGTAATTGGAAAGGTGTGGAGACACCTCCAAGCATTTGGATAGGGCGTAAAAAAAAAAAAAAATTGTTTGTTTCCGGTTTCCGACCGACCCTGTCAATTTATGTGCGACCCAAAATTATTTTTGGGGAAGCTTGGGGAAGAAATAATAAAAATTAAATAAATACACAAATAAAAAACTCTGAGGCGAACTATTAACTATTACGTTTTTGTACAGCTCCGTCTTTTTATAGCACGCGATGTAAGATGCATCTTGTCCTCCAGCAATCTATTAACAAACGAGGCAGATATCGTTCGTCAAACTGAACTATAATACATATTATACAAGTCTTTTTTTGTCATTTATGATATTTTTATTCATATTCGCACACATACAAATACATGCATTCATAGGCATGCACACACCACATACTAATACCTCCATCCGCCTAGTTTTATTAAAAAATCATCCTATCATGATCCAATCATGATCCCAATCCCATCTTCTGCTGTCTAGCACTTCTTTCGCCATGTATTTGTTCGTTTCTTTCATTATTTTATGCAATCCAAAACACTCTAACCTGCCGCGGTTCGTATCTCTAGAGCCCGTCTAACTCGTCCGCTTTTCCGGGACAAATGGATTTTTGAAGGACAAGTAAAAGAGAATTTTACTCGCCCCAACGGACAAGTAGCCTGATTAGAACATCAATAACAAAAAAAAAAAAAATAACTAGGGAATCACTAAACCGAGAGAATGATTCTGATTTTATTACATTCATTGCAAGTTGCGATCGAGTGTGGATAATAAATGTAGCAGGCCTACTCTGCCCTACAAAGCAAAAAGGCAGTAACTGCAGTTTTGATAAAGCATTAATTATTACAATTTTCATGACATTCAAGACATCCTTTGTTATATGACAAAACATCTTATCTTAAATGTGTGTCGTTTTAGATAAAAATGGTAGTCGTTTGTACAGTAACTGCAAAAAGCCCTAGCAAAAGTAATTTTTCTCAGTTCTGCACTCTGCGTAGTTACTGCCTTTTTGCTTTGTAGGCATGGTAAGGTTGCGCCGTTGACGCTCGCGCAGAGAAATCTACACACGTGAGCGGAGCACGCACACACACACAGTTGACAACATACTCTGCCTATAAAAAATCTAAATGTGGACTTTTTATATTTTAACATATGTTAAGCACTAAGCAGCCTCAATTTTTTTTCCCGAATACCATCACGATTGAGAAAGTGACACTGATTTTCTACAACAGTTCAATAAACAGTTAAGATTAAGTCGCTTACTGTTTATAAGCAATATTGGGTGTTTTTGTTCCATTTCAGCAGCGAAAATAGTTCCAAAGAAAAGTCACAGCAGAACCACGACGCATCTCACAGGAACTCAACCTGTTTTCATTACCGAATGATTCGGCATTTTGAACGAATCGGTTGAGTCAAGGATTCAATGACCCATTCATAAACATCAACATCTGTCTCATTCTTGAATGGATGAACCGTTTGAACGAATCGTTTGAATTAATGAATCAATAACTCACTCCTTTATACGGCCGCCTGCCGCCACCTATTGGCAGTTCAGTGTTATGTTTATAAGTAGCCTAGTATAATTCTTTCCAATATTTCTTATTTGCACATTTAAATCAATTTCATAACATTATTTTATGAAATTGTAATTTTTCAGTGTAAATGGTTTAATTTCATCAGCCCTACCTAGGGTAACAGTATGCTTCATCTTTTATTTTAAATTCCTAAATTTGATCAATAAATTCAATTATTTACAATAATAAGACACTATAGTATAGGGCATTTAATAATATTGGTGGAGGCGATGCCCTTAAAGGTGCAGATATTACAATTTGCCTTTTTAAATATCAAAGCTGATTGAACACTGATGAGAACATTGCTTCAGAATAAAAAAATAAATAATTTTTAAAAATCCGGACAAGCAACTTTTTTACTCGGACAAGTGATTGACAGATTTACTTACTTGTCCGGAGGACAAGCACGTGAAAAGGCTTAAGGGGATAGTTCACTTTGAAATTAATTTTTGATACGTTTTAGCTTAACTCAAGGGCATCCAAGATGTAGGTGTCTTTGTTTCCACAGTAGTTTCAATTTTGATATTTTTAGGTTTGACTATCCCTTTAATGTCGAGCCCTGAATAATTTCCTACCCATCCCTTGCTGCCACTGAAAAAACAAAAAAAAATTCCCTACCGACCCATGACCTCAACTGACAACCAACCGGAACCAAACTTTTTTTTTTTTAGGCCTAGCCAATTGCTTGGTGGCTCTATTGAATTAGGTCCTGATTTATTAGCCCTATTTTTTTTGTTCATTATGAGCTTTTTTATACAGTTCATCTATCATCTCAATCAGCCAAACTAAATTCTAATTCCACTCGAAAAGCCCACTGAAACTATCATCAACTCAGATGCGTGAATAAGGCCCAGTGACTTATTGGAAGGCACGAAGTAAAAAAAAAAATATATATATAAAAGTTAGAAAGAAAAAAAAAAAAAAAACACTTGGAAATGCTCATTGGTCAGACAAAAAGAAATTTGCAAGTTTGATAGTTTTTGCTCAAAGGGTTTAACATCCTATTTGAAGTTTGTGAGCACATGCATAATTACAGAAAGACTTTAGCAATGACATGAGTGCACCACGGACTTGAGGGCATTTTGCTCGTTGATACTCATTAGACATAATGAAATGTTTGTGCGTTATGCTTCTCAGCCAAGCGAATCTTTAAAAATGCTGGCGAAGAAGCACAAATATTGCCCTGTGTTCACGTAGCACATCAAACAAAGAACTGCCGTTTTTGCATTGTTATCGTCGCAAATATGGGATCGTTGAAATTTGTCTACAACAAATTCAAACAGCTATGTTTCGCTTATTGTGCGATTGGGTTAACATTGCAAACAACTCCTCTATAAGTTGTCATTTTATTTCCGTCACACCAATGAATAAAGTCCATTAAAGACGCGTTTAGCTGAGCTGCAGCGAACCGGATGAAAGAAGAAAACATTTGTGAGAATTTTACGTTGTAGCCTAACTTAGGCCTAAGTCTAATCAACAAAGAGCAATAGGACAGTTAGCCTAATAAATGATAAATGATCACAGCAAAGGAATTAAGAACTTTTTCAACGTCCAAAAACGAAAGTCTCCAGGGGTTAGGGAAACCCTGCGCGATCTGATTAGAAATGCCAAAATGGTCAATTTAGCCAAAAGGCAACAAGTTTGCAGGCATGCTCTCTGTTCTTTGCTATGTGCCTCAGCTTGCAAATGTTGCAGGTCCCGAATCAGGAGACCCAACTGACAGATTACTGTTTCCTGTAGAACAGGATTGAAAAGACACCAGAGAGTCGCGTCTGCTCTTCAACAGCTCCTCAGCAGATATTTATTTAGCATAATAGTTCAGTAAGGCACAACAGTTGCTTTTAAAGCATTAATTCACATTCACATTCTATGTCCAACATCCAAAATAAATCACTTTTTGTCACTCAGTCTCATTTCTTCACTTTACCATTTATAGTTAACATTTAACTTTTATATATATAGATATTATATCTTATAAACAGAAATACCAATATCATTAACAATGATATTAAATATGAATTTGCTTCATATTAACCCAGTAAATGCAAAGAGCTCTTGCAATGGATACAGATAGTGACTTCCTATAGATACAGTCGGCAACGCGTCATAGTTGGGGGGCGTGGTCGGTGTGGGGGAAAGCAGCGCGACCATCCTATGTATTTGAATGAGAGAAATGTCATATTGCGAGTCATTTATGCCTGCCGACCGGCAACGGTACATTGCAAAATTAACTGTAATAGGTTATGATTGCCCTTATTTAATTAAAAACTGGGTCAATGACCCAACCAAATGGCCGGAGGTGTCGTTTCCAGACTATTATATCTGGTTGAATCTTCAGGTAAGACATCGCGGAAGCTACCGGCAACACAAGCCTGTAACTCAATCAACTTGCGTATTTTTACTATAAGTCCATAAAACCATGTCACTTACCAATTGTACGTATGCTTCACTCCAAACTATTAATCCTTTTGTAAAACGGTGATCAGTAGTAGTCGCTACGAAGTTGCAGAGGGACTTTGCTGACAGTTATCCGAATTCTCACAGACTGCAGTCTGATAACCTTCAGCTGATGAAAACCTTATGAAAAACAACTAAAGGAATCTTGTAGTATTTTAGGACAAAATATTATAGTAACGTTAATCCTATAGAATACTATAGTATTTTGGGACATAGCCTAGAAGTATAGGTATTAATGAACATCACAGAAGTATTATACACTACTATAGAATACTAATAGCCATAGGATTACTATAGTTCTTTTTCGTAAGGGATGTAACGTCAGACAAATCTGGCCCACTGCCTAATACGAGTTAAACATCTACTACTATATCACACGGACCTCTACTCACACAGTAATCTAATAAGATATGATTAATTTTGCCATTTTGTCCTCCTATCCGGTTTTGTATGTATGTAAGAGAGGCTGTAGAACTTCAATTTATAATTTGTTTGTTTATTGTTGGTACAGAAAACGACACCGCAACTCTTTGGCATGATTGTCCCATGTATTTCAATGAGCGCCAAGGCAATGTTTTCCCCCACGGGCTAAATTCACACCACGTGACGGGGCGTTCCCGGGGGCGTTCCCAGACCAACCGAATGTATCTATTCTCCTCTCAGTGTCAGGTCACGTGACCGATAAGCGCGCCAAATGCGATTACAGAGAGAGCTTCAAACATACACAATGTGAACTATTAACTAGTTGACATGAGCAAACAACCTTTTTATAACACACAACTATTGATACTAGTATATACTAAACACTATAGACAAATATACTGACCACTGGAGCGAGCTTATATCATTTCCCCCACGTTATTATGAGCATATAACAGACAAACAAAACATCCTCAATTAACGCACATTTAACACTTTACATTCACTACACATGGCACAGGAGAAGTCACTGTGGTATAGAGAAATGTTTCACTTTTGAATGTCCATATTTGTTTTACCTGTAAAACAGGATTGAAAAGACACCAGAGAGTCGCGTCTGCTCTTCAACAGCTCCTCAGCAGATATGAGGAAGCGCGCGCAATTCCCAGTTCCTGTCACGACTCTCCAGACAGAATGTCAAAATAAAAGTCCTTCATATAAACGTAACTATATATTTGTATATATAACAACACATGAAACAATAATGCAATCGCATTTCCCATGACAATTTAAATGTTCAGCAGACAGAAAAAAAAACACAATTGGAGTACATACTTTGTGTGCATCACACAAACTCACTTGCCTGGTACGTCATAGTATCTGCCACTCCAGTGTTTTCCACCGCAATGGTTTTTGAACTGATAAAACATTCAATCAACATGCTTTATAGGTGCGAGTCTGGAACTGACCGATAACATGAAATTAAACAACTTATGGTGCACTGAGAAATGCATTAATTAGGAAAAAAAAAAATGAATAACACACTTACGTTTGCATCTTACACCGTGCCATTTGATAGATGTCAAAGGTGAATGGCATATCCAGCATTTGTCAATTCTCACCAGTTCAAAAACCAGCTTATGGACTGTACACTGTGAAAACATTTTTTTACAACAAATATAAATATAAAACCTTTGACACACACAAATTATATCGTGAATTAATTTTTTTGTGTGAGTTTCTTTTTTACTTTCACACAACCAAGAGATAAAATCAGGAGAGATAAAAAAGGGGGAAATAAGTTACTTTTGAGATATAATGGCCAAGTAAATCTATTCAATTCATATGACTTATGTTTAGGTTGGTTAACTGTTGGGGTGTCACTCGTCACACACACAAAAGAGAAAGATTTACTTCTACTTGGAACGATGGCAAAAACAACAACTCCTCAGAATAATTAAGTAAACTTTCATCTGGCATTTAAAAAAACCAACACATCTAGTTTCTGAACCCGTGTCCAAAGCCAAATTTAGATTTACTCTGCTTAACTTCTATTATCTGTAAAAAGACAGCGAGTGCTGTAGGTTGGAAAAAAAAAAAAAAAAAAAAAAAAAATCTACAATACTGACCACTAGCAAAAAAGCGGGCAACTAACTTATAGGGGCAAGGAAACTGATTATCCTCTTCTTTCTAGCCACAGCACTACAACCTCAAACTGCAAGAAAATAGGTTGATTAAACCTGGACTATCTAATTAAGCAAAGCAAGAAAAGTAAAGCCAATTCTAAGAAACTAAAGTAAAAAAAAAGTGAAAAAAAAAGTGAAAAAAAAAAGGTAAAAATCTTTGTACGTGTGTAACACACACAAACTCTAGGTATGCAAGGACACTTTCCTTTGGACCATCAATGACATCCGTGCTGAAACTAACACTATTGAACTCCCAGTGTGTGTTGGGGGGGACACCGTGATTAGAAAAGACCATCCATCCTGAATAGAGGACATAATGGATGGGCAGCTTCACAGATATAGAAACTACAGCATGTGCTCGTAAAGTGGCTAGTTAAGGAATATTGTTTTCCCTATTTTATATACATTCTTAGTTGTGGCATCTATGTGTAACTACATCAAGGACGGCAACTTCTGTCCTGGACGGCCACTGTCCTGCAGAGTTTAGCTCCAACCCTGACAAACTCTTTTCTAGTAATAACCTTAAAAACATTGACTAGCTTTTTCAGGTGTGTTTAATTCGGCGTGGTGCTAAACTCTGCAGGACAGAAGCTGCCCATCCATTATGTCCTCTATTCAGGATGGATGGTCTTTTCTAATCACGGTGTCCAAAGACATCCATGCTCAAACTTTAAGACTTCCACTATTGAACTGCCAGTGTGTGGCACACTCAGAAAAAGACCATCCATACTGAATAGAGGACATGACCACCGTAGCTGCAAGAGGTTTATTAAAACACTGAAAACTGTTCCAAGGAACATCCCGTTACTTCTAACCACTGGTCAATTTCAAAACACAAGTGAATTCAAACTCACCTCACAAGCAGAGTCATTCGGCGCAGCTCTGGATGCGTGACGCTCTGATCTCGGTTCGGTCCCTGTACCAGGGAACACGCAAGATTCGGTGCTTGGCTTTAGAGCTTAGTCAACTCACATCCCTGATAGACAAAGTTCTACTCAAAATGTCCATCAAACCATAAAATAATTATCTAAAAATAGCCTCCTGACAGTGCCAGATGTTTTTTAATGCTTTAAACCCTTAGGAGGCATGACATTCATTCCCAGAAGTCAACAACATTTACTCAAAACTATAACCGACCACCGGCAGGGTCTGTTGATGATACAGGGGGCGAGCCCTCCTGGGGCTGGACATCAACTTCACCAATCCCCTCTTTCTCAGAAGTGCCACATTGACCTCTGACACGGTGTACCTAAAACAAGAACAGCAACATGCAAAGATGAACAGGCATCAACTGGCACAGATGATAATACTGCATATGTGCAAAGACAGAATTTTTAACAAAATTAGGAACCATTTTGTATAGGGGAGACATGTCACTGAAAAAAAATAATTTTACCATCAAGCCGCGAGAAACTGCTGACCATGGTCCATGAACCATATAGGTACACGTAGATGCCACAACTAAGAATGTACATAAAATAGGGAAAACCCTAGTCCTTAACTAGCCACTTTACAAGCACATGCTGTAGTTTCTACATCTGTGTGTGTTACAGGAATATTCATGTTATGTGAGGACAGGTTGTAACACACACAAACTCTAGGTATGTAAGGACACTTTCCTTTGGACTATCAATGACATCCGTGCTGAAACGAAGACTTCCACTATTGAACTGCCAGTGTGTGGCACACTCAGAAAAAATCCAGTGTTGGGGGGGGGGGCACCGAGATTAGAAAAGACCATCCATCCTGAATAGAGGACATGACCACCGTACTGTAGCTGCAGGAGGTTTATTAAAACACTGAAAACTGTTCCAAGGAACATCCCGTTACTTCTAACCACTGGTCAATTTCAAAACACAAGTGAATTCAAACTCACCTCACAAGCAGAGTCATTCGGCGCAGCTCTGGATGCGTGACGCTCTGATCTCGGTTCAGTCCCTGTACAAGGGAACACGCAAGATTCAGTGCTTGGCTTTCCTCGTATCATAAAACAAGTTTACAGTAGGGGTGGGCGATATGGAAAAAATATCATATCACGATTTTTTTAGGAAAATCACGATCACGATTTTTTATCACGATTCTTTTTCAAGTTGGTTTTAATATTTTGCAAGTGGCTGTTCATTACAGCCAAACTAATGTCCTTATGTTAAAAACAAAGCCTTAGGTATCAAAGGCATACATTTAGGCCAGTGGCGAAGATACAAATCTTTGTCATTATTTTCTTTGTTATTAAAAAAATAAGACAAGATAAACATTACACAAATTAATATTCAAATTAAATAAATAGTGCTTTATTTTTCAGATGCACTAGGTGTATTTAGCAGTAGCATTGAAGAAAGTAATTAAATTAAACAAATATGAAATTAAAACACTACAGAGACTTCACTGAATGAATTGATTCTTATTAAAGCTACTATTAAAGTTCTCAGTCAGTGAGTGATTTTTTCCTTGTGTTTTTTTTTTTTTTTTTTACTAAAGAGATAGTTCCCTCAAAATGAAAATGGTCTTAATTTACTCTCTCAAGATGTTTTAAACCTGAATAAGTTTCTTTCTTCTGTTGAAAATAAAAATTATTTTGAATAATGTGGGTAACCGAACAGTTGCTGGTCCCCCTATAGTTTTTTATAGGTTCTCTCCTGTAAGTTAATGGGGACCAGCAACTGTTTGGTTACCCACATTAAAAAAAATCGTCTTTTGTGTTCAGCACAAGAAAGAAATTAATAAAGGTTTGTAACAACATTAGAATGAGTAAATAATGACAGATTTTATTATTATTTTTTTTTTTGTGAACTATCCCTTTAAGGACATGCTGCAGGGTCAAAGACTAGAGTGTGTGTGAAGAAAGTTAGTCAAAGACTAGAGTGTGTGTGAAGAAGAAGGGTCAAAGACTAGAGTGTGTGTGAAGAAGAAGAGTCAAAGACTAGAGTGTGTGTGAAGAAGGTTAGTGAAAGACTAGAGTGTGTGTGAAGAAGAAGGGTCAAAGACTAGAGTGTGTGTGAAGAAGAAGGGTCAAATACTAGAGTGTGTGTGAAGAAGGTTAGTCAAAGACTAGAGTGTGTGTGAAGAAGAAGGGTCAAAGACTAGAGTGTGTGTGAAGAAGAAGGGTCAAAGACTAGAGTGTGTGTGAAGAAGAAGGTTAGTCAAAGACTAGAGTTTGTGTGAAGAAGAAGGTTAGTCAAAGACTAGAGTGTGTGTGAAGAAGAAGGGTCAAAGACTAGAGTGTGTGTGAAGAAGAAGGTTAGTCAAAGACTAGAGTGTGTGTGAAGAAGAAGGGTCAAAGACTAGAGTGTGTGTGAAGAAGAAGGGTCAAAGACTAGAGTGTGTGTGAAGAAGGTTAGTCAAAGACTAGAGTGTGTGTGAAGAAGAAGGGTCAAAGACTAGAGTGTGTGTGAAGAAGAAGGGTCAAAGACTAGAGTGTGTGTGAAGAAGAAGGGTCAAAGACTAGAGTGTGTGTGAAGAAGAAGGGTCAAAGACTAGAGTGTGTGTGAAGAAGAAGGGTCAAAGACTAGAGTGTGTGTGAAGAAGGTTAGTCAAAGACTAGAGTGTGTGTGTGTGAAGAAGAAGAGTCAAAGACTAGAGTGTGTGTGAAGAAGAAGAGTCAAAGACTAGAGTGTGTGTGAAGAAGAAGGGTCAAAGACTAGAGTGTGTGTGAAGAAGAAGAGTCAAAGACTAGAGTGTGTGTGAAGAAGGTTAGTGAAAGACTAGAGTGTGTGTGAAGAAGGTTAGTCAAAGACTAGAGTGTGTGTGAAGAAGGTTAGTGAAAGACTAGAGTGTGTGTGAAGAAGAAGGTTAGTCAAAGACTAGAGTGTGTGTGAAGAAGAAGGGTCAAAGACTAGAGTGTGTGTGAAGAAGAAGGTTAGTCAAAGACTAGAGTGTGTGTGAAGAAGGTTGGTCAAAGACTAGAGTGTGTGTGAAGAAGGTTAGTGAAAGACTAGAGTGTGTGTGAAGAAGAAGGTTAGTCAAAGACTAGAGTGTGTGTGAAGAAGGTTAGTCAAAGACTAGAGTGTGTGTAAAGAAGGTTAGTGAAAGACTAGAGTGTGTGTGAAGAAGAAGGTTAGTCAAAGACTAGAGTGTGTGTGAAGAAGAAGGGTCAAAGACTAGGGTGTGTGTGAAGAAGGTTAGTCAAAGACTAGAGTGTGTGTGAAGAAGAAGGGTCAAAGACTAGAGTGTGTGTGAAGAAGAAGGGTCAAAGACTAGAGTGTGTGTGAAGAAGGTTAGTCAAAGACTAGAGTGTGTGTGAAGAAGAAGGGTCAAAGACTAGAGTGTGTGTGAAGAGTGAAGAAGAAGGGTCAAAGACTAGAGTGTGTGTGAAGAAGAAGGGTCAAAGACTAGAGTGTGTGTGAAGAAGAAGGGTCAAAGACTAGAGTGTGTGTGAAGAAGGTTAGTCAAAGACTAGAGTGTGTGTGAAGAAGAAGGGTCAAAGACTAGAGTGTGTGTGAAGAAGAAGAGTCAAAGACTAGAGTGTGTGTGAAGAAGAAGGGTCAAAGACTAGAGTGTGTGTGAAGAAGAAGAGTCAAAGACTAGAGTGTGTGTGTGTGTGAAGAAGAAGAGTCAAAGACTAGAGTGTGTGTGAAGAAGAAGGGTCAAAGACTAGAGTGTGTGTGAAGAAGAAGGGTCAAAGACTAGAGTGTGTGTGAAGAAGGTTAGTCAAAGACTAGAGTGTGTGTGAAGAAGGTTAGTCAAAGACTAGAGTGTGTGTGAAGAAGAAGGGTCAAAGACTAGAGTGTGTGTGAAGAAGAAGGGTCAAAGACTAGAGTGTGTGTGAAGAAGGTTAGTCAAAGACTAGAGTGTGTGTGAAGAAGGTTAGTCAAAGACTAGAGTGTGTGTGAAGAAGAAGGGTCAAAGACTAGAGTGTGTGTGAAGAAGAAGGGTCAAAGACTAGAGTGTGTGTGAAGAAGAAGGGTCAAAGACTAGAGTGTGTGTGAAGAAGGTTAGTCAAAGACTAGAGTGTGTGTGAAGAAGGTTAGTCAAAGACTAGAGTGTGTGTGAAGAAGAAGGTTAGTCAAAGACTAGAGTGTGTGTGAAGAAGAAGAGTCAAAGACTAGAGTGTGTGTGAAGAAGAAGGTAGTCAAAGACTAGAGTGTGTGTGAAGAAGGTTAGTCAAAGACTAGAGTGTGTGTGAAGAAGGTAAGTCAAAGACTAGAGTGTGTGTGAAGAAGAAGGGTCAAAGACTAGAGTGTGTGTGAAGAAGAAGAGTCAAAGACTAGAGTGTGTGTGAAGAAGAAGTTAGTCAAAGACTAGAGTGTGTGTGAAGAAGGTTAGTCAAAGACTAGAGTGTGTGTGAAGAAGGGTCAAAGACTAGAGTGTGTGTGAAGAAGAATGGTCAAAGACTAGAGTGTGTGTGAAGAAGAAGGGTCAAAGACTAGAGTGTGTGTGAAGAAGGTTAGTCAAAGACTAGAGTGTGTGTGAAGAAGAAGGGTCAAAGACTAGAGTGTGTGTGAAGAAGAAGGGTCAAAGACTAGAGTGTGTGTGAAGAAGGTTAGTGAAAGACTAGAGTGTGTGTGAAGAAGAAGGGTCAAAGACTAGAGTGTGTGTGAAGAAGGTTAGTCAAAGACTAGAGTGTGTGTGAAGAAGAAGGGTCAAAGACTAGAGTGTGTGTGTGAAGAAGAAGAGTCAAAGACTAGAGTGTGTGTGAAGAAGAAGAGTCAAAGACTAGAGTGTGTGTGAAGAAGAAGGGTCAAAGACTAGAGTGTGTGTGAAGAAGAAGGGTCAAAGACTAGAGTGTGTGTGAAGAAGGTTAGTCAAAGACTAGAGTGTGTGTGTGAAGAAGAAGAGTCAAAGACTAGAGTGTGTGTGAAGAAGAAGAGTCAAAGACTAGAGTGTGTGTGAAGAAGAAGGGTCAAAGACTAGAGTGTGTGTGAAGAAGAAGAGTCAAAGACTAGAGTGTGTGTGAAGAAGAAGGGTCAAAGACTAGAGTGTGTGTGAAGAAGGTTAGTCAAAGACTAGAGTGTGTGTGAAGAAGGTTAGTCAAAGACTAGAGTGTGTGTGAAGAAGGTTAGTCAAAGACTAGAGTGTGTGTGAAGAAGAAGGTTAGTCAAAGACTAGAGTGTGTGTGAAGAAGGTTAGTCAAAGACTAGAGTGTGTGTGAAGAAGAAGGTTAGTCAAAGACTAGAGTGTGTGTGAAGAAGAAGGGTCAAAGACTAGAGTGTGTGTGAAGAAGGTTAGTGAAAGACTAGAGTGTGTGTGAAGAAGAAGGTTAGTCAAAGACTAGAGTGTGTGTGAAGAAGGTTAGTCAAAGACTAGAGTGTGTGTGAAGAAGAAGGTTAGTCAAAGACTAGAGTGTGTGTGAAGAAGGTTAGTCAAAGACTAGAGTGTGTGTGAA